GAAGTGTCAATGTGACACAGCATGACATCATTGGAAAATCACACGCCCCGTCAAAGTCAAAGTCATGAAATCAAAGAACCGTGGGCAATTTTTATTGAAATTTTACCTTTTTAATTTTACTTTTCATGTTATTATTTTTTTTAAAACTGGTTCAACACCTTTATCTCCATTTAAAAACACATGAATACGTGGAATTCAAGAAAACTCTTGAGCAAAAGGCCAAAATTGTTATTTGCAGTTTCCAAGGATTCTCAAGCTTTCGAAGTTACTAAACTTTGGCAGCCATCTTCTCGATAATGTTTTCTTCGACACCAGGCGACCCCCACCTTCTTCACTCGCAAATATCTCGACTTCTATTTAAGACATATTAGGTATTTCCTCCAATCAATATTAATACAAATAAACACGCTTGAGGAAATTAAATTAACTTCTTGTGTCCAAAGATTGACGAGCACCTGATTCCATCAAGTCACGACAGCTCTGCGGGTGGCACGTTATTGTGGTGTTGGCTTCATCTCCGTTACCTAAAGAAGCGTGGACATATATTCGTGAGGCTGGGTTTCTTTTGATTTTCTCGTCGGCTCGTGATTACGAAAGAAAGGAAAACAACAAGACAGCACCTGCTTACTGCGTGACTTCCTCACCAAGCACAATTTCCAAAACAACACACGTGTGCATAATTATTTCCTACACTTTTTGCGGAGGTGGAGTGATTTCTGCGCTTTTCTCCGAAGCGGAAAGTCCAGGTTCGAGCCTCGGTTCGGACACGGATTTTTTTTCGCCCCCTCCTGCCCGCCCAGCAGTAATGGGTACCTGTCTTCGAGTTGGGGAAGTAAAGGCGGCGTGGAAAGGAACTGGCCACCCTACCACAATATGCCGAAGTCCCAGAAAGTTGTCTCACTAACAAGGCAATCCCCAATGTCCGGATCGGATGCGGGAACAACTTGACTTTACTTTACACATTTGTATCTGCTACTGTTCAAACTCAAAAGCTCGTTTTGTCCGCTACCATTGTCTCCTTTTACTCCCAAAACTTATAACATTCCCTTGAACATAGCATATTCCCCGCCACGTCACTATTTCCTTTGCATACAGCAGAATATCTTCAGACCTGCACCCCTCCC